TATATATATATATATATATATATATATTTATATTATTAAACGTGACTTCAAATCAGTATTCCAACACATACTTATCAAAATACGTAAGAAAAAAATATAATTAATTCAGTCTAGACAAATAATATATAAAGCTTATGATCCAATGAATTGTTGATGCGGCTTGTCATTTTTGAAGATAATTGGACCCCTTCAATTTTGTCCACTGGGTAGAGATTTTGTATAATTAGTCACAACAGTCAGCTTTTTGAATTGTCTTGAAGTTGAAGGACCCTTTGGAGTTTGGAGTTTGGAAAGCTATTTTGAAGAAAATTAGATGGCATTATCCTATCATCGTATGTGCATGAGCTAGCTCAGCACTTCCCTATTCGCCAATGGTCTGACGTCTAATAAGAAAAAATAATCTACTAAAAAATTTAATTTATTACAATTAAAAAAGTCATTATTGTTTATATTGCATCTCATAAATTTTTTTTTTGGTTTCCAGAGTTAATTATTTATGGACACGATTTTATTTATAAGATAAGATTAAATACTAAATATAAACACATTTCTCGATAGAAATTTAAATTTTGATTAGACACATTATAAGCCACTGGCTATTTTCTTTGGCTAGACATAGATCCAACTCATGTTGGTCCATAAATTATTGTTTATAATCACAATAATTAATGTTGGACAAAAATCTCGATCATCATCGACTAATATGTGTAAACATATGGTATAATATATGACTTTTAATGGTTGAAAAGAGCTAATTAACAATAAATAAAAGATTTCTGGCCCATTTGGTTTTCAAAAAGACAATAATGTTTGAAGAGGAATATCGTGACAGAAACTTATCTACTAGATTTAGTCATATATATATATATTCTCCTATTGACAAAGCAACTGCCTCCATAATAAGAGTCTTTCACACGTTAATTTTTGGTCACCACATAGAAAGATAGTGAACCCAATAGCACTACTATATGGTTTGAGGTGATTGCTAGAAGAATCTTATATTTAAATCAGACATGTCCCATAATGGCTATGGTGCCATTCGATCAATTCCTTATGCAAGTTATGATTGCGTAGCAGTACTGAAAGATGAAAAATAGAAACCATATTGGTGTCTGTTAATGGAGATAGATTATTAACTTATGATGATTACTTTTGAAGCAGTGCAGGTCCCAAAAGTAAAGTCACACCAAATGTTGGCCTAGTGAGGGTATTCCCTTGACCATTGATGTAACTTCAACCGGCCCACATCTCCATTTATTATCAATTAAATCACTATTTTTAAATATTTATATTGCTTTTATACTATTTAATTATTATTCCAGAGTTATAGCAGTGTACGTAGTGCTTACACTTGCACATGTCCCATACATACATTTCATAACTCTAAAACTTTCTGCAGTGAGCAACTCCTGTGCCACATATTCAGACACTTTCTATATAATCAATTCCCAGCCTCAGAATTACTGTCAAAAGTTGAAAAAGTTATTTGCTGTTTTGACTTTAAGATGATTTTATTATTGATTTTAATCGAGTAGAAAATTAATTCAAACTCATGTTATATATGCAGATTCCATTACCGAATTTACTAGTGAAAAAATATTTTTAAAATTAATTATTTTTATTTTTAAAATTGGTTTTTTAATCGATTTTAAAAGAGTCGATTTTAAAAAGTGAGACTTTTAACATCGATTATGGAATGATCGATATTAAAAGTGATTAAATTTTTTTAAAATATTTGACTTGTTTTAGGAGGATTCTTGAACAAAATCTGCAAATTAATAAAATTCCAGACAATTCATATGTTTTTAAGATATTTGTTAAGAAAATTTAGAACAATTAGAAGTAACTCTTAAAACATGATAAAATGCAAACTTAAAATAAAAATTTTCAAAATTCTAAAACGTACTTCAGTCCACCAAGATATTATTTGTGAATCAACAATAGTATGCATTTCTTTCATTACATAATATCCGCACTCGTAGTTTCCTTTTTGCTTATGAGACTACAAAAAGAATATAAAAATCAATTTTAGTAGTAATGATAATTCAAAAGAAAATACCTTAGAAAAAATATCATTACTAAAATAAAATAACTTACTTTAAGAGAGACCCAAAATATTTTTTTCTTCAACTTTAAACCTTTAAGTATATGGTATCCTTCCATAGCCCTAATGATAAAAGGACATCATTGTTATATTTTAAAATAAAATGTAATGATAAACAAACATGGTGCAAAAAAGCAGAATCAAGTCTTGCATATAGATAATAAAGCAATTATTACAATTAGTCACACTGTTAATGAATCACCAACAATGAAGTTTGAAGAAAATGTTTAAGAACAGTGATGATAGGACATACATCATAGTCCCAAGTCCCAACAAGAGAAGGTAACTGTTGTGAATTGTGCTGGTATAAGTTGAAATTCAAAATTAGTCGCAACTTTGTATAAGACCAAGTCAGGCTTTCCTATGAAGAGTAATAATGTGTATAAATATGCGAGGCATAAATAGGAAATTACCAGCAAATTCACTAAAGCAAATGTTACATTGATGCAATTCTTTAAGGAAGTTCTCATGGTGTCTCTGATCATTGTAACTTTGTAAAAAAGGAATATCAACATCAATGCATTCAGCTCTTGAAACAACACGCTCATCCCGGACATGATTCATGCCATAAGGCCCGAGTGTGATTCCCTCATCAAATCCTAGATGAGAAAGAGAACAACCATGTAACCATTCTACCCAAGAGTAAATTACTTCTTGCCCCTGTTGTTCAGCCCATATTGAATCCAACTTAGAGCACAGACTTGTAATCTTTAGGGGTTCCAACCACTTAACAGAGAGTGTAAAAATAGGTTCTTGGTGGCTTAGGTACCACTTAGGTAATAAACACGTCAAAACAATCGGTGGAAGATATTGAACTTTGAAAGTGTATAAGAACTCGTCTGAATTGTTGTTTATAGTCTCAAGTTGATTAAGAGAGTTCAGCTTAGCAAGGATTGGAATTTCACCCAAAACATCAATGTGTATATGTATCTGAGGGATGTAAAAAAAAAAGTGTCAGTATTATGTTTTAGAGAATCAGCACTGTAACTGTAGTCTGGAACAGCCTCAGAATGGGCTGTTTTGTTTGTAGAATGGTCCGTTCTGATATCAGAACGGTCCGTTCTATTTGCATAACGGTCCGTTCTACTTGTAGAACGGCTCATTCCAGATTCGACAGCAACAACAAAACAAGAGACGTGAGAAGAGAATGTTACCTTGATATTATATTCTTCCAAGAAA